TTTTAATTTTTGTTAACACAGGATTGGATTATTTTTACAATTTCTTCTACGAAATCACGAGAATTATGACGCACCAGTGCTATGTTAATACTCAGAGCGTGCGCACACCTGAAACAAAACTATTGCACTGTTTAATCTTGCTTTGATTCTTAAGAGCACTACTCGATTTTTAGTCGTGCAACTAAACAGTTGAATTGGCTGCAAAACAATCGACAATCGCTTAACAGTTGGGACATAGTTTAGTCAAATGCGCCGCCCGCTCTCATACAGCGTCATCATTCGACATATTTATTACTTCGTACAATATGTGTTTAGTTCTGTTACATACGTATTTTCATATTTAGAGGACGTCTCTACATGTCGTCTAAGAAGAACAAAGGGCTTACCACGATTATTATTGGGAGTATTTTCGTAACGTCGTTGACAAAATTTGTAATAAAGTGCAGTCCTCTTGCCACCCGTCTACTACCAACAAATATTATACTGTCGATGTTACGAATACGTTCTCACGAATAATCGTGATAGGTCCTTGGTGTGCCATTGTTATTTTAAGAATCTTATTTATCGTAAATTAAGAGAGCTTTTTTAAAGCTCGTTGCACTCGATAAGGAAATTAATTCAGACAGACGTGCGACGATAGTGTTGTACCTTTAATCGAAAACATTTATTTTGTTTGCGATGTAGGTAATTTAGTTTAGTTAATTGATTTTTACTATACTGTCCCGACAAAAAGACTAAATGGCAAAATTCCTAATATTAAGAGATGAATAGGTTGAGAATATAAAAGTGTCAAGAACAATAACTTCAGAGCTTTAAGCAGTTTTACTCATTCTTAGTAATCGTATCGATAAGTTCCAAAGTATCGATAAGTATCTATCGATACATTGTGTCGCATCCCTAGCAAGCTGCCGGGTTGGATGCTCTTAAATATCGGATAAAAGATGCCTCTGTAGCAGATAATTAATTGTTGTTTAATTTGCACTTAAGCGGAGCATCGCACGGTCATATCAGAGACACGATGCAATAAACATTTCATGTACATTCGTTTTGTAATTTATTTAACTTATCTACCAAAGATTTCGTTTTTAGACTGGTATTTTTTTTATAACATAAGGTTACAAACGAGCAAGCGGCCACAAGAATCCGCCAAAATGGCGAAGCGACCGCTGCCCATAGACATCCGCAGTTGCAGATGCGTTGCCTACTCTTATACGACGAAGGAGGAGACGCACATAAAGAGGATATTTCCCCTTCCTATGCATCTCCTCCACCGTCAAATCACTTCCCCTTCCCAACCTCTCCTTATAAGAAAAGGGTGGTAAAGAGAAAGGGACTAAAATTAGGCCTCCGGCATCACACTCATCAGACGAAACACGGAATTGCTTCCATTTCACGCCTGTCTTCTGTGTGGTCGTTGTATTACACCGGGCGTGCCCGCCCATTCGTGCTAAGATGTTAAAGCGGGCACTACCACTATGAAAATACAATATATGGTAAAATTAAAATACAATATTGTTTACCATTCTGGTTACGATTTGTAAAGCGAAACAATTTTCTGGACCCGTGGTGCGTTGCTATATAAAATGTACATAGGCATAAATGCAATCAGACAAAGAGATAATAGCATTTTTATATCAGGCGTTTAACTATTGCAATTTAGTTACATTTATCTCAAATACGTTTGTTATTCTGTATCTTTATATAATAGTTATGTGATATACAATCGTAGTTACTTTTAGAAAGTGTATACACCGGGCGGCGGGTTCGTGTCACCTTGCTGTTGCCAGGCGCCGCCCGCCCTGACGCTCTTTACACGAGGACAGTACATTTAGGCAGAGCAGCAGACAGTGCAGTATTATTGCTGTTTCATCACGACGTTGTGACAATACTGTTTTGTACTACTGCTCTGGATTAATGTGCTACTCTAGTGTAAACCCCCGCGTGGGGTGCATTCCGCCCCACCTCAAACCCTGCAAGGCGGGCTGCACACGCTGCAACTAGCCGGGTACAACCTCCACAGCAGTTGCCATGCGAACATCCAACACGGGGTGTTTCCCATCCCTACTCTACGCCACCCGCGCTTTTAAATGCTGTTGAAGATTGTTGCGCATACGTTATGGTTAATTAAAATCCATCTGACGTTAATACATTACGTTACTCAGTTGAAAATTTGACGCGTCACTGGCTCAGGGGTTTAAGCACTTGAATTGTAATACAGGTCTTCTTGGGTTCGAATCCCGCCGTACCAATGTGATTTACAAATTACATACATAATTTACCCGACGTTTTTATGGTTAAGGAAAATATTGTGATGCTGCATATATCGGCGAAGAATTTCAAAGATATGTGTGACAACCAACTCGCAGTGAAGCGTGGTTAACTATGGCATAGTCACCCTAACTAAGAGTGACTTCGAGCCCCTCGGTGGGGACGTATAGTGAGCTGGTGATGATGATGATTCAGTTGTTGAACTAAAGAACGTCGAGGTTATTTAAATTGACACTTGTATAATACAGTCAAATACACTTGTGGTTTTGACAGTATACACTTCTAAAATTCACATACGAGTACGGTACATCAACAAGCCCCTTCCTTACACTGAGCAAACATTACCGGAACTCTGTTTACAAATGGCGTACAAACACTACATAGATAGGGGCAAATATGTAGCTTACTGTTTATGACAACCGTATTCAAAGATTTGATGTTAAAATCAATATTTACTTAATATCTTACATAACCTAAAATATTGATTCTCTTTGTTGACAGAAATGGATGAATTAAAACGAAGATATCTAAAAAAGTAAAGCAACAATAATGCAATATTAACACTTTCCTTTTTAATTAATCTATACTCTATACTATTATAATAAAGCGTAAACATACACTTCTTTGTGGCGTAAGATGTCAGCCACTACAGCATATTTTTAAATAATTCTTTCTTTAATAAAAAACACTACACTTACGTTTTGAACCATTGAACTGCACCCCTGTTATGGTAGATCGCTCAAAATGGTAACTAGTAAGCCTACGAACTATAATGCGTGGACAGGAAATCTCACGCACCACGCATACAAGGGCTAACGAACCAATGAAACTGCACCCTTAGTTGTATTTTCCACTCTACTAATTGTTACTATTAACTGCGACTGCCCCTATACCTCTACGCAGATACAAATTGAGTTGATCTACCAGCCTGTTTACTAATCACTCATCCGTGATCTGAACTGCAGATCATTAACTGTTAAACCCATGACTATCGCACAATATGGCAACATTTCAACTAGCCAATTAGGTACTCCGAGCCGCAGAACTTAACGAACCGTGAGATTACTGGTCGGTTAAGATCACATGCTCTTCCTGATATCCTCAAAACGTTTAGTAGCAAAAGGTTAAAAATACACTCTTACATTGTTGGAATTTTCTTAAATGTCATGGTTAGTGTCTTATTTAACGTTTTTTCTTGAGAATCGAACAATATCTCTATCCAGGAAAATTTAGACAAAGAAAAAACATAACCATTGTTCGGTATAAAAAAATAACGAAACAATTTCCGACTACTTTGAGGTTATCTGGACTAATACATAGTCTTTGACAATTATTTGCCTGACAGTTGGCAGAATGTAATCTTAATGTCATCAACAAGTATATTTCTTAGTGTAATTTATGCCCGGTAGAGGCGCTGCACAAATCTAATACTTATTTTATAGATGACGCCACCAAAATTCTCTCTTTTGTCTTATAACGCTAGTATTAGTCAGGAATATTAAAAAGGGGTTTAGCCCCACGAGTATATTAAAAATTAGTACCCTTTCAAACTACCTATCGTATTCAAATTCAAAAACCGCACAGTTGGCTTCCAATGTTCCCCATTGAAAAACAAACATAAAACCTAACCAATCTAAACCCCCTATGGAACCCCACCTTAATTCGGCAGGGGATAGATTTATCACGAGGCACGTTCCTAAAATTGCCGATGCAAAAATTCACTGTGAAAAATTTTGTATGCACGGAAATGTATTTAGAGACACGTTCGATAGCTTATGGCGAAATTGAAGCGAGCTATTTTACACACAGAAGAGTGTTTTAGGTTATGTAAAGTTTTGTTTAATATATGTTAAATGTTAGAGATGAATTAATGTTTATTTACTTTTGACAGTTGTTTTTTTTTTACGAAAAAAGTTATGGCATTACTTACTGCCTTTATTTAAAACGTATTTGACATTTAAAAAACACGTTCATACATTTCGTTTTCCGATTTCAATGTAAACTAATAATTAACAATATATTTTTTCTGGTTTTTACAGAAATTTATTGTTATGTTATTACAGTTATGTTTAAAACACGTCGATCACCAATTTCTAAACATCACATATAAAACATATATTTAGTTTATTTTTAAATTTATCGACGTCTTTTGAAGACGATTCGTGTAATTTTTTTTACAATAAAACTACACTAAAAGGTCTTAATCAATAACTATGAATTCGACAGTAACACTACATCAAACTAACATTTTAAATGTGAAAGTTTAGATGTATGGATGAATCTTTGTTAGAGTTCGTAGCCAAAACGGTTGAAGGGATCTCGATGAAATTTGGCATAGATGTAGAGGATAGTATGGAAGAACACATAGGTTACTTACTTTTGTGTTTCTCAATTCCACGCGGACGGAATCGCGGGAGAAAGCTAGTACTTAACGTTGTCGAGGAAAGATTTGTATTTTAATTTGTAAATAAAAATCGCAAAGACAACTTGATCTATTTTAAAAATTCTCTCAAACATTATAGAGTTTCATTATTTGCTTACTAATATTATAAATGCGAAAGTTTGGATGAACGGATGGATGTTTGTTAGAGTTTGTCGTCTCAGCTGCTGAACAGATCTTGATGAATTTTAGCACAAATGTAGAAGATAGTCTGGAGGTCGCAAAGGTTACTACTTTTGTTTTTTTTAATTCCACGCAGTAACGCAAAAGCAAAATAAAACACATGTTTTCAGCCAGAGAGCTCACGAATGAGTAATGTTAATCTTTATTAACAACAGATAATATATCCTATACTATAAACAGATAAAACAAAAAACGGCATCGATATTCATTCTTATAAAATAAACTTTAACTAAATCTTTTTTATTTCCGCGCGAAACGCGGGAAAAAACTATTGTGCGATATTAACAAATTAAATACATTCATAATCACCATTATTTAACACCATTCAAAGTACCTATTAAGGAAATCTGAACATAGAAGTTGCTATTGGTTGGTTCTATCACGGCATAAAAAACATAAAATGACTTTAGAACGAAAAAATCCCTCAACACTTTGACGTTTAAAGGGCGCTAATAAACTGTCATAATTAATTTGACATACGACCAAAGAGTAAGATATCCGAGTCGGTCTAGAAGTCACACATTAGGTAAAATACTAAAACTGTCTTTGTTGTCCCTTTCTTCCTCGCTGTGTCCCGCATTTGATAAATTAACAGCACCCTGGTAAGAGGTTCGTTCATCTTCTTCTTCGTCAAGTAAATCATGAAGATTATTTAAACATTGACGTTTAAATAGCCTCTGTTTTCTTGCAGATAATTCTTGATAATCATTATAAATGCCGCGAAAGAATTGAAAATACGATGAATTTTCGTCAGGACCGAACGTTTGTGAATTAGAACTGTCATCGTGTATTTCGACTTTTGGTTCTTTATAATTCGTCGGAGTCGAATTCAGTGAAAGCCAAGGGTTATGTATGAAAGGTTTGACGTCAACTGTTTCTGTGCTTGATGATTCCGTCAGGTCCAGTTCTAGAAATGTCGACGCAGGTGTAGGGTAAGGAGAAACTCGTCTGAAACAAAAGCAATTTTTCCATTGGAAATTTACATTATCATTAAAAACATTAGGTATTAGATCAACGAGAAGAGTATGTATACGGCAGAAAAGAAAGAAATGTAAGTTCTTTGCCCCCCCCCCCCAGGAGAAGCCAGGAAGGATCGCTAGTGTATCTTAAAACTTTATCAAAAAATTTGCAGCAGGCTCATACTAATAATTTTGAATAATTAATGTCGTGTACTCACGTATCAGTACCCATATGCTCTCGCAGGAATTCTAGTTCATCAGCCAGGTACCACTTCGACACCATCCGTCCTTTGCCCGTGCGCGCACCATGCATCTCATTCCTCAAATGTCGGGAATACGAATTACGAATATGCGACCATTTCCTTCGAACCTCTGGCACTAAAAACATAAAAAAAAACCTTTAGATTTTTAGTTTACAAAACCGTTTTTGTAAAATAAAATATAAAAGTGATACTAGAATAATATTGTAATATCTATGGTAATACCTATCCATCCCATTTCGTTCGCAACCTCCTCCCAAAGTCGTTTTACTTGCGTATGATAGCTGGCTACGGGCATATTATTTCGTGCATACAATAATCTTCTTTCTTTCACAAGTCTAATCATTTTACGATCTTCAGCTTGACTTGAATCCACAAATCTACCGACATTCGTCAACCTGTTTGATTCTGTCGTGTCTGCAGTCACTTCCTTCTTTGACATGTTTACTCTTTGCCGTAATCGCATCGAGATTCGCAAAACTTTAAAATATGTCACAAAAGAGTTATTAAGAATAATAGATCTTGATCGACAAAGGAAATTCACTATTAAATTGTTTGCTCCAGTACTTGTTTGTTTATTTAACAAAATCCGCTTACTTGAACTAAATAAATAAGAACACGTCACATCGCAACGAGAGCGCGGAGCAAACACGGCAACGCGCATAACGGCAAACAGACACGCGCAGCGGGAAGCAAGCGCGCAAACATGTAGGTCTCGCTCGCTCTCGTGGTGCGGGCGTAAGAGTGAGCGAGGCGGCCGCCGAAGCACGTGAGCAAGCAAGAGCGCAGACGCCCTGTCCGATGGCGGTCGGCCACTTTTATAAATTCCACATCGTCGGGTATCGTATCGATTGAGCTCGGACGGGCGGAGCGGCTCGAGTTTTTTCCATCGGTTTATTTTCGGTAGTTGTTTTAACGTACAGTTTTGATATGAGATTCGCTGTTTGGGATTTCATAACAAAATACTTTCCGTATATATTTGCAAATTAAAACAACACCTAGCAAACCTCGTTAACGACATTTTAATCATATTTTCATAATAGTCAAAAATCTGCAACTTTACAAAACACAGTACCATTTAAACGCATGCTGACCTAAGGAAAGAAAATCCACTTCACGTCTTAAAAAGACGATAAGAGAAATATTTGACAAAAGTAAATCGATGGTTGGCGCCAATAACTTCCTATTTCATTTTCTACATACATTTATTATAAACCTTTCATCTCTACTATATAAAATAAACAAACATTTCTTAAATACAAAATACATCGCTGCTTAAGTATACACTACAATAAAGAAGTGTACTATTAAAAGTAATGTATGCTGTACATAAGATATGACAGAAATTGCATAGTGAAGAGGCAATGGTAGTACCAAGGATTTGGAGGCAATTCTTTTTTAGTGCAGAAACGCTTGATATGAAGACATAAAAGTATACCAGATCTCATCGCTAACATCAGACCCACTTGAGAGGTAGTAAACATTTTATGATCCCAACCGACGGCAAATTATTCATGAGATTGTTATATGTTGAACTAGCTGTTGCCCGTGACTTTGTCCACGCAATATTAACGTAAAAAAGTATATAATATGCCCGTCTGTCAGCTACAATTCGGTGAAAGTCTGGTCGAAATCGGCCCAGCCGTTTCGGAGATTAACCGGAACAATTGCGGCTTGCGGACAGACTGACAAAAACTTTTAAATGCGATTTTCGTTATCAGCAACGCAAATGCATCATCTTCCCTAAATCTGGAAGTTTTCTTTTGATAGTACAAACTAGGTTCCGAGCCCAATAGGGATGTATACTTAGCTGGTGATGGTACTATGAAAATTTGAATTAAAATTGTCGACTTTGAAATTGCTAACACTTGTACACATATAAAATCTACGCACTGTTATTATAAGGTAAGGCTGTAATTCAAAAAGAGGGGGATGCCCCCACAGCTAATTGAATAAAGCCATTCTTTAGGAGGAGAAGTTTTATTAATATACGCTGGGCTGCAGTTAGCGCTTTTTACGGCACTTTTTAAAAGCTCTCGTCTTTACAATTCTCAAACTTATACAATAAATTCTCACGATTATAAAGTACGTTGTATACAGAATGCGATGCGATGAAGCGATAGTAACAGCTATGAAATTCAAAATTCGAAACTATTATTAAATTTTTAGATTATTTAAATTAAAAAGTTGGGAGTTACATTTGTTTTAAAACCATGAAATACGTATACCATTGGTCAGATACCATACCATAGACCATAGATCGTTATTAAAATGTCCATAGAGAATTTTTCACTAAAACTAAAAATTTACATTGAAATTTACATTGAAATGTAAGGTTTTTTACTTTTTTAGCATTGCTACGTTCAATTAGTAACATAATATAAGGGTGAAGTCGACATTCTTAGTCCTCAGAGGGTTGTGAGGTTGCGGAGGGTTGCTAAGGACTCCCGGCAATAAAGTGCTGCGATCTCCCAGATTGCGACGCGCATCAGCTTTTTATCGTAAATTGGCATCATTTTTACGTTTTACGAGCAACACGACTCGCTGAGATTGATGTGTACGAAATTGATGTGCTACGACCTTTATTCTTACAGGCACGTTCAGCGATTTTTAAAACGTAATAAATATGTTAATAAGTGTGTATAAAGGTACTAAAAAGACTTTGTTTTTCTAGTTGATAATTGAACTTACATTATGTAAAAGTATTCTTAAAATAAAACAAAAATAACAAACAAACCCTTCCTATTATCTATTATAGTACACAATTTTTGATTTCATGTTTTTATTTATTTTAGAATTCGATACAAAGATACGAAATTAGCATGACTATTAAGTTTTGTGTCGATGACGATCATGAAAGAGTTTCTATCAGACCCAATCACACGTAATATTATAAATGCTGATGGCAGATGGATGTTTGTTACAGTTTGTAGCCTAAACGGCTGAACATTTCGATGAAATTTTGCATAGACGTAAATGATAGTCGAGAACACATAGGCTAATCAGTTTTGTATTTTTTAATTCCACGCGGACGTGTCGCAGTCAAAACCTAGTAGGCCAATTTTTTTATTTTCACGCGGACAAAGTCTCGAGCAACGGCTAGTAAATCATAATAATAGAATTACAAGTACTGAGTCGCTTAATCGCATTCTTTATTACAACACTACTGTGGATGTTCCATATTTTTCCGTTACATGACGTAAGTTTATATTCCTGGATAGGCTATCATATATAATATACTATTATAATAAAGCGTAAACACACACTTCTTTGTTGCCTAAGATGTCAGCAATTACAGCATATTTTTGAATAATTCTTTTTTTAATAAAAAGCCCTACACTTACGTCACGCTTTAGGCTATATATTTTCACAACATTAAACTTAGGGTGTTAAATATTTTGGATAATAACCCTAATGGGGGAAAGAGACCATAAGATGCTGCCAACATCAAGGAAGCCAGATTGCCAAGGTTTGGATGTCATGTCATTTTGACATTGAAAATTTGACAAATGTAAACATTATAAGAAAATTTTCATAATTTTATGCGGATGAAGTCGCACGGGAACATCTAGTTCTACAATAAAACACTATGAAAACTGCATGAATATCACCAACTTACCTGTTACCACAAACTACGTAAGTCATTAATAACCGTCAATGTCTAGGAAAGTGTTACTGTTTCTGAGTTGTGAAGTGAAATATGATTGGATTAGAGCAAAGGGCTTTCTTCCCCGGTAATGAGGAGTAAGTGACTCAGCTTTGGCTAGTCACTATAGTTTATACGAATTACCTGAAGGGAAAGGAATTACCAAAGTATTCAGACTGTCATGTCAACTGTTTATCCATTGGTAACTTTAAAACGAAGCTGAACAGTGGAATTAAAAAAATCTAACCTATGTGTTTCCAGATTATCCTCTACGTCTATGCCAAATTTCATCGAGATCCATTAAGCCGTTTATACAACAAACTCTAACAAACCTCCATCAATAGATTAGTTTTTAAACCGTAATCTCTGTAAGAAGATAAGTCAGAGTGTCCTAAAATCTACACAAGAAACTGCAGGTATAGCTAGTAATTCTTTCCCCGAATCACGCTGTGCCACACCTAATGTTCTGTTCTGTAATTCTCACGAATTTAACAGTCGTCAGGATATCTGAAAACAATAGTATCGCATACGCAACACATCTGCGGTTTCTATAGTGGTGTATTCCATTGGCTTGTCAGGTAGTAGTCTCCACTGTAGGTTTGCCCTATCTTATAACAAAATTACTCGACGTCGACTAAGATAATTACATTGTGAATAGAGCTCATTATTATAATTTATACCTTTTTCAGGCAACAATGTCTCATCGAATTATTTATAGAAGAGATAGTAGGTATCTACTTATCATATAATCGTTTTGTTGATACCACAGATATAAAAAACCGTTCTACATAGGTGACTTATTAAAGAAAATTCTAGCAACAATCAATCAAGTAACGAACTTATTTTTGCAGTCTAACGACTTTTAGCAGATCAGAAAAAAATAGGAAATGTTAAATATACGCCATTCGTTTTCTGCGAACCCGAGACTTCAGTCAGACACACACCGCAACGAACATATGTTTCCTTTGACAGAAAACAGCTGTTTTACTTACCGGGAACTATTAACGGTATCCCACTATACCTTAACAAGGAATTATATACTCTAACTCATAGTTCTTAAAGTGGTTTTTCCATCTATGATCCTGTCCCCTATACTTTCCAAGAAGCTTACGATCAGCTGATCTTGTAGTTTACGAGTGCAGTAAACAGGATGGGCGGCGGTTGAAAGACGTGCCCGAATTCTAAACCGGGGACCCATTAAATTAAAACTACCTGCGTGTTTGCGTCGTTTCCCTTTCACGTGAGTCAAAAATAACTTTAATATTAATAAATTATGTATTGTTGAAACCAGTTTCGACATTCAATTTACTTGCAATACGCTGGATTTGGTACAATGATAAAGGAAGACAATTTATAACAGGCCAGGGTCGGCGTTATGGAAAGTGTTGTTAAGCGACCGCCCTGGGCGCAGAATAGAAAGGGGCGTCAGTGGTCAGCGTATTACAGTCTTAAGTGATCCTGTAGGCATCCCTTCAAATCTGGTAAATATCTCGCCCTGGGCGCTAGTAGGGCTAAAATCAATACTGCCTAACCCCTTCAATGTACGTAACAGGTAGCCCTTTGTATGCAATCTACATGATTATCTTAACAAATCTCAGGCCAAAATAAATAGTCATTAAATAATAGATTAAGCCAAGGCTCAATTGTTTTAAATCAAAAACAGGATACAATGTAAAATCTCTTTATTTACCTTAAAGGAATACATTCACTTAAGACCCGATTTACATCATTCCAGTCCAGTCGAAATTAGCGCTGGATTACAACTGGAAATATGTAAACCCACACATTCCAATTACGAGTACATTAAATTACAATCTAAGTTAATTAAAAATTCAGTCGATGTGTTTAGGTGACTCTTACATTAGACCCGATAGTGGGCATTAGTGGACACTTATAAGCATTAGTGGACATAAATGGGCACTGACATAATTGTCGAGCGAGCTCCCCTTTGACTAAACTGTCGCACAACTGTATAGTATCTCTTTGATTCGTATCATCTTATACGGAGGTGAACACTAATCGATTTTTAGTTGTGCAACTAAACAGTTGATAGCTGCGGAACAATCGACAATCGCACAATAATTGTTCGATAGTTTTGTCAAAGGTGTGTGCCAGCTAGAACTTGCATCGTATATTGTCATTTTGAGTAACAAGATTCAAATGAATTTCTTTTCCTTCATGTGATTACACCAACAGGTAGATAATTCGTAAAATAATTTGGCGCTCTCTCAGCGTCTGCAACATAACGTAATAGGATCTCACTAACACTATCTTGTAATACTATGTTAATAATAATACAATAGTAAACTTATACATAAATACCCTTATGTTACAACCATACATAAATTCAATTTCCACACGTGGCTTGCAATTTAAAAATGGTTCATACAGAAAACGTAACAGGAAACGAATTCCTTTTTTACTAGATTTGCAAGCCATTCCAGTTAATATCCACTTGTCTTGTCTTATAGCTAATGAGATTTGAATGATGAGAAATTATCCACACTAGGATTACATTAATGTTGGTGGGGTATTGCATCAGATCATGGCGCCGTGGGGTGCGGGGTGCGCGGGGTGTGCGGTGCTCGCGGTTGCGGCGCGGTAATGCGCATAGCTGTCGTACAGCGGGTACAGCCAGCGGAAAAGCGTGGCTCAGGAGGGCCGGCGCTCCCCTTCTCCTTCGCCCTCCGCTCCCTCACCGCCCTCCGAACTGCTGGAGGAACTACCAGCGCCGCGCGCCCATAAACTAGCGTAGCTCTGCTGTTCCGCGACCAGTGCCTCCTCTGCTGCGATCACCGCCTCGAATAGCGTCCGCTTTATCTTGATCTGTGTAGGGTACGGGAACCTTTTTGTCGACTGGCACATACTATTGAAGAATATGTCAAGGGGGTCGGGCGCGGCTGGTGGGGGACGGCCACGCTCGTGTAGATGCGCCTCTGTAAATTGCCGCTTGCTTTGAGCTTTGCACAGGTAGTCCAGTTTTCTGTCGATGACGGCCAGACGGACGGATCCTTTGCGTTTCGCGGAAGAGTCGTTGTCTACCTCCGATTCGGAGTCCTCGGAAGAGTGGGGCTCCGCACCGTTGTGCGCGGACTCCGGTGGCGCGGGGTAGGGCTCCGGTGGCTTCTTTCGCACGCTCATATGCGGCTGGAGGAACTGCATAGGCCCCATGTACTTCCACGGGTAGTTCTTCTTGGCAGTGTTGTTGGGCTCTTTGGCCAACATCTCGCGCTTCAATGCGTCTCGATAGCTGTCGCGTAGCTTCTTCCATTTCATCTTCACTTCTTTTACTGAAAATAAAATGTTTTTTTTAACAAAATCAATATCAGATATTTTTTCTACACTACGAATCTTATTAAATGGAAGTCATTAATATTAATTTTATTATTTGTTTATAACCGACAAAGATACGAGCGCGATGAATAGAATAGGTAAATAATGCGAATTGACAGTGCTGCCCACACATCGTTTATCAATCGGCAGGGCTGCCAAACAAATACTACTTACTCGTAGTTCGTAGTTTTCTATTAAAATTACAGTTGGGGAATAGAATGTAAAAAGGATCTAAACGTTAGAAATTATCCCGGATCCGATAAAAAACCGGTTTTTACATAGAAAAAAAATACAGCGCATCTGCATTCAAGTTGCAGCAACCCTGCCGTAGGTTCGTTTCACGAGTCGCGGTCAAGGCCAAACGCAGCCGCATTATGTTGAGAACAATGTGAAGTCGTAATATTCACATTATGTAAGTTGTTATGATAGCCCAATATAAAGTATAATAAATTAAATGCAATTTCTAAAACTATATCAGGTAAAGAGTTAAAGAAATAAATTATTCGATAGACCGTAAAAAGTATCGAAGACCAGCTAAATGATTTTATCTTCTGTTCATGACCTGCCTCAAGACACAATCATCGGTTACGTTATCGATCCACTCAGAACAGCACGTTAGCCTGCTGGTAATGATGACGAAAAATCGCGAATGTCCTAAACTTATTTTTAAGTTGTGTACATTATTGAATAATGAATTGTATTGTTATTCATTAAAAATGTACACGTATATTACGACAATTAAATTGCATAAATGAAAAAAAAATGTAACAATGAGCATTGTAGTTATAATATAACGTAAAACGTAACATCGCATACGATATTACGAAGCGTCGGTTGCAGGGCGTCGCTCAGTGAGCAGGGAGCGGCGCGAGCCGGTGCGGGGGCTGCGGGGCAGGCGGGGCGGCCGGGCGCGGTCGGCGCGCGCTCGCGGCGGCCGGACGCGCTCGTGAAGCAGGGAGTGGGGCCGGGGGGGCGCGGTGCCGGCGCCCGGCAGCTAGCACTGTACCGCTCTCACCTGACGACAAGTCGGTCTCCTTCATCACCTCGCTCCAAGCTGCGTCCTTCAGCTCCTGGTCCCGGTACTCGATGGCGGTGGTATTCCACAGGCACGGGTACCTGCGCACGGTCTCGATGAAGTGCTCCATGGTGGCGACGGCGCGCGGGCTGGCGGCTTGGGCTGGCAGCGGGCGGCGCGCGGGCCGGCGGGCGGCGCACTGAGCCAGCTGGCGCGCCGCTCGCCCCGGCAGCGCCCCGCCGCCACCCGCCGCCCGTCGCCCGCGGCCCGGCGCCCCACGCCGCGCGCACCAGCTGCCGCCGCGCTCGCTGACGCCCCGGCCCGCTCGCCGCTCGCCGCTCGCCCGCGGCGCAGCGCTCCCTCGCACGCTTGCCCTCGCTCTCGCTCGCGCCGCTCACATAAATAAACGAAACAAACAACGCATTCCTCGATCTACAAATACATACAATATTTATTTCCTCATTGCTTTATAAACCAATGCGAACAGCACACATACATCCTTAATGATATGATGATATCCTCTGAGTGGATACAGCACATTGCCATGTACCGGCTGAAGTCTACGAGTCCTCAGAAAAATTCACACATTCGTCCATTTGGGAAGTAATCTGACTGCAATCTGTTCAGCGAATTATACAACAAATGGCGGTTGTTAAACTTATTGAATTTGGTCACATAAACAAAAAAAATCCATTACCTGAACATTTTAATCCAATCGAGATTCGAACCGAAACATCAAATGTTTAAGCTGGACATTCTAACAACCAAACAACTTGTACAGTAACATTAAAATGAGTTCTAACCTAAGCTGCACGTCTACTTCATTTCATATTCATTAACGTTGACAAACGTGTATAGAAGAATACGGTAGTAGGAACTACCTACAGTTGTGAGTTATTTCATTCACATTCAATCACATTAATTCCTAAAACAAAGTTCTAATCACAGTTTGTAACTGGTAGTTACACACCACAATGACACGCACCTAAAAGAAATGTGAACATCGGCCTACCCTACAAAAACCAGTATTTTAAAATAAATTGTAGTAGTCGTCAGTGGTTACTAGCATTCTCTGCGGTATAGAATAGTTTCAAAAAGTGGATGGAACATGCTCCGAGATTTATCTCTCGCTGAAGTCAAAACGCAACCAAAGTAACCGAAATTGAACGAAGAATCTATTGCTATTAACATATTGTAAAACGTTTTGGATTTAATCTAAACATTAATTTATTTAAAAATTAAATTTCAATCATCACGGTAAACAGTTACAAATAAGAAGATCCGAAATGATTTCAGAAGAAATTGTAATACCGCAAACCTTCACTATGAATTTCTGTTTTAACAAAGTACTCGAGTAACTTGTACCGATAGCTAATATAAATCCGGAACATGTTGCCCTTGAGAACTGTGAAAAATGCATTTTATGCATGCATTACCATAACGCGTTAATTTCTGAGATTGACGTCACAAAAACTATACTTCAACATGCATATTCATAAGCTGTGCTTTGAGCCCGGGATTATAATGGGCCACCCTGCCCGCCTGCCTCCACGCCGACCCCCTGCACCCGCCTAGCAACAGTCAAAATCAGCTGGGCGCCACCCGCCCCTTACAGCGCCCGCTTACATGAGCCCTTGCAAGCCCTTCAGAATATTTAAAACGTACAGAGTTCTAGACACATTCATACATTCTCAGAATAAATCAAGAAAACTATTTTTTTATTCAATTGCAATTATAACCATAGACACCTTCATTTTAATTAGTTGACATAGATTAAATAATAAGCATTACCGCCGCTGCGCACAGCTGTTTGAAATCGATTGCCCTTCATTCCCCCTCTTGTAGCCGCTCCCCGGACTTGCCCCGCCGCTACCTCGCTGCATCGCACGGACTTATAGAAATGGTTCTAGATTCAGATTGATGTAGGTAAAGTCATAGCATATCCTAAATATAGTCCTCCGCCAAGAAAAATACCTATTTTAACCTGTCGTTGAAAAATAAAATTCCCCAGACATTAATAATTAGTAATTACTGAATGTTTAATTCATCATCTGGACTGGTATACTAGTTTTTTATGAATGTATTTGTGCTTTATGTTCTTTTTCTCTCTGCAATAGTTTAAAAGTATCTACTCAACTGGCCAAAAAATGAAATGTGCAACTTGTATATAGTTAAAAACATGTAATCAACTTTTACATAGGGTGGCTTGCGTTGCAACGATTTTCTTTGTTTCAGCAAGCTCCCGGCCGCTGGGGAGTCGAGGGGATGGGAAGTGCGCACCATGGAGCATTTGCCAGCTCTAGCGTGCGCCCTGTTACTAGGGGCACTATATGCGCTTTAGTTTATGACGTATCTAAATACTAATCGATGGCGAACAGTTGTGATGCGTTATTTTGAAGATTTATCCATTTTTCACCAGAAATATACCTATAATAACCACTTAAATAAAATTAATGTACATAGATTAATTTTATCGACTAAAAACTAATGGGTTGTTTCAAAGGGTTTATCTATCGTAATGTATGAATATTATTAAATAATAATTGTCGTAATGTATGAACATCAATCAATACTTCATTGATGTGCGCCTGACGCGAAAGAATAGCAAAGTTGTAAACTTACAAATAGCAGGAAAGAAAAAAGGAAATCTTTAGAAAACAGGTAATTATTTAAGGGTTAAGAACGAAATATTAAATTAGCAGCATTTGTTTTATTTGATTAAAGTTGAATGAAAATAATGATCTATTGTTAAGCCAAAGACCTTTCGTCACATTCAGAGCACGAGAAGTGTTATCTATGCGATTTTATAGTCTGTAGAACCTTCCCGTTGCGAAATTGTGACATTTCGCAATTTGTCAAATGCGTTGATATTTTTGTCGTTACAACTTGTTTTTATTGATTGAGATTCGTGAAAAATGAAAAATAATCACTGACTATGTTATCATCTCATAGTTAAAATCATTTTACATGTAATAGTGAAAGGTAAAGTGGTGTTTAATATTTTCTGTAGCCAAATGAACCTACCAGATGTCTAGTGAGAAGTAGTTGTATAGTTTAGATTTAGCTAGATTGTGGAGTCCACCCAGTATAGTACTTAGGCGACGTGATGGAAGGCAACGCAGATCCTGATGGTGAACGAGGGCTGTAAGTTTTCAAGTATTTGGTTTCATTTTGGTTTTCTATCCATTTTCTTTGTTATTTTCTGGTATATTCGTCCCTCATTATGCCAATGCTTAAATTTATGGATCTACTATAAAGTATTACTGAAATAATAAAGAATAAGAAGCTTGATGTTTAAAATATTATTTTTTAATGAAACTCATTGATGGAAAGTGTAATATCTTAATTCTCTTATTGGAAGCAAGTCAATTACATGTAGAATCTTTGATTAGCTATTGGTCATGTATTTGTTTGTAAGAAAAATAGAAAATGAACCTTAATTTAAGACAGACTATTATTGTTCTACATTTGTGTCAAATTTCATCCATACTGGTAGACCCATTCTAGACATACTTTTCAACATCTATCCATCCATAGCCAAACTTTTACATTTGTAATATTTAAAAATATTTTTAGTATTTTAATGGGCTGAAACAAAAAATATGTTCATGGTTGTTATTTGCACAGGGAGGATCCCAGCACAGCGGAAGGCGATGGTTATAGAAGCAGATACAGGTAAATGATTAAATAAACTCTAAAGACCAAAATAATTGTTCAGTTAGGAATTAATTGTTATAGATAGAATATGTTATAGAAGCTTCAATAGCCTAATGGTCTGGGGTACGGACTACCGATCTTACGGTCTAGGGTTTGAATCCCACTATTTGACTATTGTCGTGAACCAGATCCTAGCACAATCCTAGAGCTTAGTTGGAATGGTTAAAGGAAATATTAGTAAATTACCAAAAATCTACTAATAATAAAAAAAAAAATTTAGTGATAGCATAGACATATTAAATTGTTGACTAATAAAACTTTGTGTTAGTAAACTGAAAATCAAATTTCAAGCCTAGCTCTCTGTTTTGGTCGAAACGGAAACTTTTGGAAACACATTATGGTTCTATGAAGTTAGTGTATTGAGTAAAAATCTAATTTCTGATAAAAATTACGAGACAACACATTAAATTCACGAAACATTCAGTGCGGTGGGACCGAAAGTGGCTAAATTTAGGCCGAACCTAAAATTTGATTTTTGTTTATAACTGGAACTGAAAGTTCAGTCATTGATGTTAGTATATGTGCAGTATGCTAGCTCGGTGCGCGTCGCAGTCGTCACTAGACGAGTCGTCGCAGCGGCGCGCGGGCGGCGACGCGGGCGAGGCAGGCGAGGGCGGTGCTGGGGCGCAGCACGCCACCGCACTGCTCGATGCACTCGCACGGTTGCGGTGCGACGGGGCTCTCTGTGATGTACGACTGCAGGTAACTAACTTGTATTAGTATTATAGAGTCATCACCTTACTTCCTTATTCTACTCCTGTAGCGCATTGGGTTATCAACCTCCAAATAACTGTATCATCCATTGTTGTAGTGTCCACATCTTTCTTGATCATGTCACCTTTTATGTAATCCATCCATCTCTTTCTAGGTCTACCTCTATACCACACTCATAAATAATTGATTAGGATGACAGATTAGTCAGACAGTAGATAGTTCAGTTAAATTGATTTTTATATTGTTGGGTAGCAAACAAGCGGCCACCTGAATTGTTCAAAATAGCATTGCAACAGCTGTTAATAAACATGTAGATATGTTGCCTACATAATTAGTAATTGCTGAAGTAATACTTCCTTAAAAATACTCCCTTCCAATCTCTTAAGCAAACAGTGGGTAGGGAAAAGGGTACATTTAAATTTCTCCTATGTAAAGTTTTTTGTACCAGGCGCAGGCGGAGGGAGCGGAGGCTCCATCGGAGGGCGTGTGGGCGCACCGGGCAGTGCTGGCTGCCTGCTCACCCTACTTCCGCGCTATGTTCACGCAGTTTGATGAACGCACGCAAGATGCTGTTACCATACAAGTATGTGTAACACCTTGTGCTCACTAATAGAATAATTGTGCACTAAACGGCTGAACGAATTTTAATGAAATTTGTCTTAAATGTAGAGCATAGTCTGGAAGAACACATATTCACTTTTGTTTGTTTTTATTCCATGTAGGAGTCGAAGACGAAAGCTAGTAAAATTATAATTATTTAATTATTAAATAGATATTGCTATTATTTTTTATTGTTTCTTTCTAGAATGTGGAACCGCACGCATTGTCTGCAATCATAGAATATGTCTACAATCCGAATTCGCTGGTCATCACAGAAGATAATGTTCAGGTAATGTAAATAAACAGAGAATCTAAATTCGTCTATTTTACGCCAAATTAAATTCTGTTCAAGAAGGATTTGTCTTTCCAAAAACTCTACTTTTTGCTAAGTTCAAATAGTGCTAAGCTAATCTATCATACTTCATACAAATGTTATAAATTCGAAAATTTACATGGATGGATGTTTTTTAGATTTTGTATCCTAAACAACTGAACGGATCTCGATGAAATTTATCACAGATGTAGAACATAGCCTGGAAGAACACAAAGGCTACTTATTGTGTCTATTATTTAATTCCCCGCGAACGGAGTCGTTGCAAGAGCTTGAACAAATGAAAAGATTTCTGTTTTATTATGTAACTAAACTCAATACTACTGGGTCAATTTCAAGAATTCTTTCCATCACAAAGCTCCAAAAACTGTTTATGTATATGTGCGTATGGTGTTCACTATCCAGAGCCTGCTGTCGGCGTCGTCGCTGCTGCAGGTGTCGGGCGTGCGCGCGGCCTGCTGCAGCTTCCTGGCGGCCGCGCTGGCGCCCGACAACGCGCTCGGCATCCGCGCCTTCGCAGAGCTGCACGCCTGCCGCGACCTGCGCGACTGCGCCGCCAGATACGTGCACAGGCACTTTGTGGAGGTGACTAGTGTATACTTTGTTGCGGTGACACGTGTATACTTTGTTGCGGTGACACGTGTATACTTTGTTGCGGTGACACGTGTATACTTTGTTGTGGTGACACGTGTATACTTTGTTGCGGTGACACGTGTATACTTTGTTGTGGTGACACGTGTATACTTTGTGAGATATCACGTGTATACTTTGGTAAAGTGACACGTGTATACTTTGTTGTGGTGACACGTGTATACTTTGTGAGATATCACGTGTATACTTTGGTAAAGTGACACGTGTAAACTTTGGTAAAGTGACATGTGTATACTTTGGTAAAGAGACACGTGTATACTTTGCTGTGGTAACACGTGAAAATGCTTTAGTTTTTTTTTGGGGATTCTGCCCCAAGTGGTTGGTGGAAACCTGTGTTACAGGAAGCAGTGCCTTCTCTTACTCTCGGTACCAGGTACTTTTAGTGTATACTTCGTGAGGTGCTACATGTATACTTTGTGATGTATCGCGCGTATACTTTGTTAGGTGACATTTGTATACTTTATGATATAACGCGTGTATACTTTGTTGTGGTGACACGTGTATACTTTGTTATGGTGACACGTGTATACTTTGTTGAAGTAACAATGTGTACTTTGTTGTAATATTAATACATTATGTTTTTAGGTGCTAGAGACGGAAGAGTTTCTATCCCTGACTGCGGAAACATTGGCGCAGCTTCTCGACAGTGACCGTATTATGGTATGTATATTTGATTGAATTATCCAAATCCGTGTATTTGTTTTGGGTTTGTAATTTTATGTATTGTTTTTTTATTTACCAGGTGCCAAATGAGGAGGTGGTTTTAGATGCGGTGATCAGATGGATGCAACACAATGCAGAGGTTAGTAGTTACTTCGAATATCTAATTGGGAACAAAGTTCTTTTATTTTTAGGGAAATATTAAGATAAATAGGATTGGCTTCCGACTTTGTCCGCGTTGTATAAAAAAAACTAGTAGGTTACGTGTTCTTCCAGACTATTTACATTTATGCCAAATTTTATTGAGATTCGTTTAGCAATTTATGCTTCAAACTCCAATAAACATCCATCCATCTAAACTTCGCATTTATAATATTAGTATGATAGATTACGATAGTATTTATTGTTTGTTGTGTAGGAGCGGCAGCAGCACCTGGGCGCGCTGCTGGAGCACGTGCGGCTGCCGCTGCTGGCGCGCGACGCGCTCGTCGCACGCGCCGCCGCGGAGCCGCTCGCCGGCGCGGGACTGCGCGTCAAGGTGACACCACACCATGACACTATCACACCATCACACTACTACACCATCACACCACGACACTATTACATCATGAGACGACCACACCGTGACACTATGACTCCGTAACACCATTACAACATGATACCATACAAGCATGACACCATGACACCATACAAGCATGACACCATTACACCATGACTCCATTACACCATGACATACTCGTCTACTGGTCAAACCGCGCGCCTCTCCCGCGATTCAGCCCGTATGACCTGAGGATCTGTGGGGTAAGAGGTAACGGTATAAAGTTAGACATAGAAATAAACTAAGTATAAGCAAATATTAGTGCAAATTTCGCTTATTCTCTAACGTATGTTAATATAATGTGTATTCCAGGACTTAGTGATCGAGGCGTTATCATTCCACTTGCTGCGGCCGGAGCGGCGCGCGGCCGCCGCCGCCGCCTGCGCGCGCGCCCGCCCGCGCCAGCCGCCGCGCGCGCCCAAGGTACTGCACTTCATCATCACCATCATCATCATCATCAGCCTTTGTTTACCCACTGCTGGGCATACGCCTTCCACAATGCTGGACCATTCCACTCCCCCCACTGAAATTATAATATATGTAATACGTACCCTATGTTCTTCACAGATAAGTTTACTTTCTAACGGTAAGAGAATTTTTAAAATCGGCCCAGTAGTTTTTATTTTAATATATACAAAATTACAAATCTTTTCACAATCATACTTCATAACCTCATACCAATATTGTAAATGCGAAAGTTTAGATGGATGAATGTTTGTTAGAGTTTGTAGCCTAAACGGGTGAAGGCTCGATGAAATTTGGCATAGATGTACAGGGTAGTTTGGAAGTACACATAGCTTTTGTTATTTTTATTCCGCTCGGACGGAGTCGCGGGCGAAAGCTAGTACTTGCATACTTATATATCTTAAATACGAAAGTTTAAATCGATGGATGAATGGCCTATTACCCAAAAGTTTGTAGCCCAAAAGGCTGTACGGATTTCCATGAAATTCTATATATAAGATATAATCTATACAAATAGATGTAGAGGATAGTCTGGAAGAACACATAGGATTCTCACTTTTGTTTTTTTTTAATATAAAACTATCCGTCACCTTAGTCATTACTTCCTTCATCTTTGTTTTATATCTGTGCCTAAGATGTCAGCAATCACAGCATATTTTCGAATAAATTTTTTAATAAAAAGCCACTTAAGTCACTTAAGTACATGTACTTAAGTACTACACTTAAGTCATGCTTTAGGCATATTTTCACGTCATTAAAGGGGTAAATATTTTGGATAAAACCCTAATGTGGGAAAGAGACCATAAGTTGCTGCCAACATCAAGAATGAAAGATTGCTAAGGTTTGTCATGTCATGTCATGTCATTTTGACATTTGCTATTGATAATTGTAAATAAAATGTTCATAATTCGATGCGGATGAAGCCGCACGGGGACAGCTAGTCCTACATATAAGTGTGTGTGCAGATGCTGCTGGTGGTGGGCGGGCAGGCGCCCAAGGCCATCAGGTGTGTGGAGGCGCTGCAGCTGGAGGCGGGGCGCTGGCGGCGCGCGGCCGACCTGCCCTCGCGCCGCTGCCGCGCTGGACTGGCCGTCGTCGCTGGCAAGCTCTACGCTGTCGGCGGGTTTAACGGTAACAATATCAAATAAATAATAACAACATAAAATAATGTTTTTATAATTTGATGCGGATAAAGCCGCACGGGAACAGCTAGTTAATAGATAAACTCAACATTCGTTGAAAAAACAATGTGTAAACTACTATTAGATTACAGCTAAGCAAGGCGGATTCAGAGGGGGTTCTTGACCCCCCCTAAACTGACCACGACTATGTGACCCCCCCTCTGGCGCCAAAGCTGGATCCGCCCTTGCATCTAAAAAGTTATAATCAAGCTACAGTACCAATTTAATTAACATAAAAATGAGCAAGATTTAAAAAGAAAATTACGTGGTTTAGCTAAAATATTTCCAGTTATCAGTATGAGTCTAGTTAATGTGAGTGTGTCGTGTGCGCTCCACGGTGCGCAGGCACGTTGCGCGTGCGCAGCGTGGACATCTACGACGCGTGCTCGGACTCGTGGGCGGCCGGCCCGCCGCTCTGCG